TTGTACTGCCAAGCTTTTTTTATGCTAAGGAAAATCTGGGCAAAAATGTTGAGAGGATTAATATACCAAGCAAGACAGAGCTGTATCAGAATTAAGGAATTATCACATTCCACTCGCTAATTGAAGGGATTGGTGATTTGGGAAGTATAAAAAATTGTCTGAACTCTACATTTATATCTGTGCATGCACATCTGTGTGTTCACGTACATTCACAAAACCAATGGGGGTAAGTTCTAATCCTTATTAGGTGCTTACTATGGGTCTCCCATTCTTCATTTATTTACTCATTTATTCATTATTTGCTCCAGATATTTACAAATTTGTCCTTAAAGATACTTCAATTTATCTTAAATATAGCATTTAACTTAAATAGCATTTCATCTATCATTAAATATTCCTTTACATTATTGTTTTAATCCACATAGTATTCCACATACTGAGATATTTTTTAAATGCTTTTTAACAGTTTCTCTGTCCTTGCACTTTTAGGTTCTTTCCAGCTTTTAATTACTATAAATATCATTATTGATATATATATATATATATATATATATATATAGCTGCTTACCTCTACCTTTTTTCTTAACACAAATTATTAGAAGTAAATTTCTGACTCAATATGTATGGTTACTTTTAAGGATAATGATGCACTTCTTTCTTCAAGAAAATATACCAATTTATAACTGGAAAAATATTGGAATCATTGTTTCTCTAGACCCTAATTAACAGTATTCTAGCCCTTTAAAACATCTTTGCTGATTTCAAAAGCTAATATTCTAGAGATCCTGAGTCAGTTTTCATAAGAGACAACCAGCTCGTCAAATGCCCAGAAGAGGAAGTCTGATCTATTATTACATGGTCGTGCAACTCTGGATATGGCTGGAGGGAGTGGGGCAGTGAAACAACTGGCTCAACACAAGTTGCAGTCATCAGATTTTCTTTCATTAAGTAAAACTGAGACATGAAAACTGGATGACATAATGGGAAAATTTAAGCCAGCTATCATCACAAACCATGAATTAATTTTATGGTTTTATGAGAGTTGTAATAGGCTGTGTGCAATAAGTGGAAAAGTAGATCTTCAGAAAAACGAAGCAGTAGATGCACTCAGAGAAAGAACAAAAAGAGAATGTGAGGTTCCAGGAGGATACAGAAACACAAAGGGAGCGATCGATTGATGTTTTACTACTTGTCTGGATCCTGGATATTCTTCCAATGATGAGTTCTGTGAAATTATTCCTTATCATTTATTTTTTACTTTTTACTTTTTTTTTTTTTTTTGGCGTGCCAAAGGTGTACCTACTCTCTGTCACTATACAACACTACTACAATATCATTGACTATATTTCCCTATGCTATATCTTCATTCCCATGACTTATTCATTCCATAACTGGAAGCCTGTAACTCCTACTCCCCTTCACCCATTTTGACCACCCCCTCATCATCATCCCCTCTGTCAGCCTGACAGTGTGTTCTCTGTATTTATAGGTTTGATTCTGCTTTTTGTTTGTTTGTTTATTCATTTGTTTTACATTTTAGATCCCACATATAATTGAAATCATATGATATTTGTCTTTCTCGGTCTGAATTATTTCACATAGCATAATACATACTAGATCCATCCATGTTGTCTCAAGTGACACAATCTCATCCTTTTTTATGGTTACATAATCTTCCATTGTGCGTGAATGCATGCGCGCGTGTGTGTATGTGTATGTGCCCCTTTCCTTATCTATCAGTAGACACTTAAGGTTGCTTCCATATCTTGGCTATTATAAATAATTTTGCAATAAACATATGGGTGCATCCGTCTTTTTAAATTAGTGGGTTTTTTTTTTCTTTTAGCAAATATCCAGTAGTAGAATTATTTGATCACATGGTATTTTTATTTTTAATTTTTTTTTTTAAGGAAACTCCATAGTATTTTCCACAGTAGCTATACAAGTATACATTCACACTAACAGTGGATAAGTCGTTCTTTTTTCTCCACATTCTTGCCAACTCTTTTTATTTCTAATCTTTTTTATTTTAGCCATTCTAACAAGTGTGGGTGGTATCTCAATGTGGTTATGATTTGCATTTTCCTGATAATTAATGATGATGAGCATTTTTTCATGTGTCCGTTGATCATTTATATGTCTTTGGAAAAACATCTCTTGAGGTCCTCAGTCCATTTTTTTTAACATATTGTTTATTTTTTGTTGTTGAGTTATAAGTTCTTTCTGCATTTTGGATATTAACCCCTTATCTGATATATCATTTGCAAACGTCTTCTCCCATTCAGTAGGTTGCCTTTTGTTTTGTTGATGGTTTCCTTAACTGTGCAAAAGCTTTTTATTGTGGTATAGTCCCAATAGTTTCTTTCTGCCTTTATTTCTCTTTCATGGGAGACATATTTAAAAAATGTCTCTACGGCTGATGTCATAGAAATTACAGCCTGTGTTCTCTTCTAGGATTTTTATGGTTTTAGGTCTCACATTTAGGTCTCTAATCCATTTTGAGTTTATTTTTATGTATGGTATAAGAAAGTGGACTAGTTTCATTCTTTTAAACTTGCTGTTCAGTTTTCCCAGTACCATTTGTTGAAGAAACTTTTTTTTCCCTATTGTATATTCTTGGTTCTTTACCAAGATTAATAGATTAATTGGCTGTATAAGTGTGTTTTTGTTTTTGTTTTTTTGCTGGGCTTTTTTTCTGTTTTACTGATTATGAGTCTTTTTTGTGTGTGCCAGTATATTGTGTTGATTAATACAGCTTTGTAGTATATCTTGAAATCTGGAATTATTTTACCTCCCTTTGTTCTTCTTTCTTAAGATTATTTTGGCTATTCAGAGTCTTTTGTAGTGCCATTGTAGTATTTGTTCTGGTTCTATGAAAAATACTATTGGTATTTTGATAGGGATTGCATTAAATCTGTAGATTGCTTTGGGTAGTATGGACATTTTAATATCAGTTTTTCCAGTCCATGAGCATGGAATATCTTTCCATTTGTTTGTGTTGTCTTCAGTTTCTCTCATCAGGTTTTATAGATTTCAGAGTACATATCTTTCATCTCCTTGGGTAAATTTATTCCAAGGTATTTTATTCTTTTTGGTGCAATAGTAAGTGGAACTGTTTTCTTAATTTCTCTTTTTGCTACTTTGTTATCAGTATCTAGAAATGCTACCAATTTCTGTGTATTAATTTTATATCTTGCAACTTAACTGAATTCATTTATTACTCCTAATAGTTTTTTGGTGGAGTCATCAATGTTTTCTATGTATAGTATCATGTCATCTGTAAATAGTGACAGTTTAACATTTTCCTTACCAATATGGTTGCCTTTTATTTCTTATTCTTGCCTTATTGCTGTGGCTAATACTTCAAGTACAATGTTGAATAAAAGTGACAAGAATGGATATTCTTGTCTTGTTCTTGATCTTAAAGGGAGAGTTCTCAGTTTTTCAACATTGAGTATGATGTTAGCTGTGGCCTTTATTATGTTGAGATGTGTTCCCTCTAAACCTACTTTGTTGAGAGTTTTTATCATGAATAGATGTTGAATCTTCTCAAATGCTCTTTCTGCATTTATTGAGGGGATCACAATTTTTATTATTTGTTTTGTTGCTGTTGTTTATCACATTGATTGACTTGCAAAAATCAAACCACATTAGCATCCCTGCAATAATTCTCACTTGATCATGATGAATGATCCTTTTAATGTATTATTGAATGTGGGTTGCTAATATTTGGTTATTTTTGCATATATATTCATCAGGGATATTGCCCAGTATTTTTCTTTTTTTGTGGTGTCTTTGTCTGGCTTTGGTTTCAAGGTAATGTTGGCCCTAGAGAGTACATTTGGCAGCTTTTCTTTCTCTTTTGTTTTTTGGAATGCGTTGAATAGAATGGATATTAATTTGTCTTTTTTTAAAAAAAGTATTTTATTTATTTATTTGACACACAGAGAGAGAATTCACAAGTAGGCAGGAAGCAGGCCCCCTGCTGAGCAGAGAGCCAGATGTGGGGCTCAATCCCAGGACCCTGGGATCATGACCTGAGCCGAAAGTAGAAGCTTAACCCACTGAGCCACCCAGGTACCCCTATTAATTTGTCTTTAAATGTTTGGTAGAGTTCACCTGTAAATTTATCTGGTTCTGGACTTAGATTTTTTGGTAGTTTTGATTACTGATTCAATTTCATTACTAGTAATCATTCTGTTCAGATTTTCTATTTCTTCCTGTTTCTAGGAATTTATTTCTTCTAGATTGTCTAATTTATTGGCATAATTTTTTTTGTAGTGTTCTCTTATAATTCTTTATATTTCTGTGGTGTCAGTTGTTACTTCTTTTTCACTTCTGACTTTTTTTACTTGAGTTCTTTCTCTCTTTTTCCTGATGTGTCTGGCTAAGGGTTTATCAATTTTATCTTCTCAAAGAACCAGCTCTTGATTTCATTGATTTTTTTTCTATTTTTTAAATATTCATGTGATTTATTTCTGCTCTGATCTTTATTTCCTTCCTTCTACTCATCTTGGGTTTTGTTTGTTCTTTTTGTAGTTCCATAGGTGTAAGGTCAGATTGTTTATTTGAACTTTTCCCTGTTTATTGGGGTAGGCCTGTTATCACTGTGTCCTTTTTGATTGAGCTTATGAACAGCCTGTTTTTTTAACCTTTGTGTGGTGTTCTTTAAGATGTATTTATTAAGATAAAGTAGGGAGGCAAAGTGAGTTTATTTGAACCTAAATCTCTAAGCAGTGTTATCAGCAATCATGTTACTTATGTGAGCTAATCCAACCATTTATTGGGCAATCCAGGATTTCCTAGGTTCTAGATGAATATATTAGAGTTGCTAATATATAATAATAATATATAATATAATAATATAATATAATATATATATTATATAATATATAATATATATTATAATATATAATAATGAATGACCATCATTCCAGAGAAACAGAAGGATCTGGGTAGAGTCCCTTTTAGGAAAGGTGATATCACTAAAGTGCTGTGAATGGACTGTTAAAGAGGTGAGGGTCATGCTGTTCAGATATCTTTGAAAGATGTCTATTTTAAAGAAAGGACCACAAGGAGGATGTTCAATGTTCTCTCTTGAGCATGAAGCTGACTTTAGGTGTTGCTTCCACAGCTGCCTATCGCCATTGATGACATTCTTTTCTCCCTTTGGGGGAGTAGGAGGAGAGGACATAGTTTGGATGGTTTCTGTTGAAAAAAAGAAAAGAAAAAAAGAAAGAATGGGAAGATGGCTAGCTATTAATTAGGTATCACCATGCTAACAGAAATAGAAATGGGGTTGTCTTGAGCCTATCAGTGGAGCAGTTTCTGGAGATAACAATGATGATAAAATGTTTTATGAGAAAATGTGTCCACTGCCCATCAGGTTTTGTTGCTCACTGCAAAGAAGCACAGGATGTCAAGGAGCCTAGCCTTCTGATTTTGCATATGTATCTGTATATATCTGTATGCATTTTAGTAAGCCAGTTAACTTCCTTATAAATTATTTTCTTCCTTTAGTTAGTTGGAAGAAAAATATCTGATCTCCCTATTTCACAAATTCATTTACTAGAAAAAGAAAATAAAGGACCTGAAAATGTTTTAAAAACTTAAAACACTACTGTCACTGATATATTATATTGTTATATGGGAGATACCATCTTATTGAAATTTGACCTCTGTTACTAGATGGTCACATTAACACTGGAGTTCACAGTAAGTCCTATGCAATTCATTCTGAAAAGGTTAGTTGAATACTGATGAGTGCTTATTGTTGAGCTTGGAAGTTAATAACACACTAAAACCCACTATTAACACTCCTAAAACTGAAAATATATATAATATATACTTGGCAATAGGTTTTGGCCAGTTGACATTCAGTTATTTTCAGCTGGCTGAATATGGCTAAATTTTTTTAACTTTGTATTTTTTTTTAAATTAAAAACCTTTTTGAATGTTCTTAATCAAGATCATATTTAGTCTTTTATTTCAACTAGTCTAATTAGCTAATGGAGCATGCTCTAGTGGTAGGCTGAAGGGTCAGGTAACAAAATAATAAGGTAGAAATATATTTCCTAGCAATTAGAGCATCAGATATTTCAGTCCTCACCAGATACTTTTAGACATTCATGTCTGAATGACTATTTTAGATTAATAATTGCTTCATTTTTATATTATCTTGACATTAAGCAGACTACTTTTCATGATGATTTACATTATGTCATCTTGATCACAATGAAACTAGTTCAAAGTATATTAGTGTTATTCTGATCTTACAGTTGCTATAAAATGCAATTTAATATCATGATTCTGTATTAAATTAGTATGTTTTTGATTCCTAAAATAATTCTAAGAACAATTATGTGAAGGTAAAAAGGCTTAATTTTCAAGGATTTTATTATTCAGAAATGCTAATGAACATGGTTATTAGCCAAATTCTTGCTTCAAGACCTGTATAGCAGTATTAAATCATGGTTAGAAACTTAAAATAATATTTGTAGTAATAAACATGTTAGTAATTAGTTTTATACATTATAAATTTCATCCTAATAATAAAAACATTTAAATCATTTATCTGTGTGGAGTCCCTTCTCCCCCCCCCCTTTTTTTTTAAATAAGTTTCTGTTGTTTTTTTCTATACCTTTATAGGTTCAAGTAGCAATACTCTTGATTCCATGAAGAAGGCTGGTCACATGCCCGACTGCTGTGGAGCATGGACTTAGAAGCTGAAGTGTCATGACACACAGATGACCAGGCCCCACCTAGGACAAAGTTCTACTCTGCATCAGGATGTCACCTTCTTGTAGTTAGTATGAAGATGCTGAGTCATGGACTGTGTAGTGATTGCCATGGAAACTGTTCAAGTTTGACTTCAGTCTGAATTTTCAGGTAATCTGACCCACATAGGGCTCCTTGGCAAAGATAGCCTGGGGAGGGAGTGGGACACCATGCACAGCTCCTGCTGGTACACTTTGCCCTCTACCTCTACAACACCTGAGTTCTGAGTGGTAACACCACCTTGTTGGTGTTGGGCTTCAGGTGGATGAAGCTATACTCCCTGTGCATGATTTATGTGTCAGGGTAGAAGGTGTCAAACCAGAATTTCTATAGGGACTGAACTACATGGGAGATGTGTACCTCTTCTAGGTACTAGAAGTTTGTAGCATTGGGTAGGTCCTGGTGGATCTGGCTTTCAGATAACCTGCATCCAGGATGGTGGTGCCACAATTGAGTTCATCTTGGGGGGTTTGCAGCTAGGGGCGGAAGGTGACTCCAGCTTCTTCTGAAGCTTGTGCACCTGGCTGTTAGATTGGCTGATCCTCTGCCACAAGGTCTTCAGCTCATCATTCTCCACCTGCTTCTGCAGGCAGTATGCCTGGCTCTTGTTCTGCTGGAAGAAGCAGGGGAAATGTAGCAAGTTGATAAGTATGCAGGTCCCCAGTGTTGACAGGATGATCTTGGTGGTGGACATGGTACTGGCCATTGCTGTGCTCGTTCTGCACAGTTTCCATAGCTGGCTTCAGGGTGACATCTGGCAGAGGGGCAGAGGGGCTCTTGGAGGGCTTCTTGGACATTCTGTGAGCAAAAACTCAGGGGGCTCAGAGCCCAGTCCTTGTTGTACCCTAGGCTAGTCCTGCAGCAGCCAGTCTCTTTGTCTTTTAGTGGACAGGTTCTGAGTGTGCTTGGAGAATAAAGTGAGCTAATAAATTTGTATGCCTCAGATCCTGGGGTCAGGTAAAGTCGCCCACAGAAATGGTACTTTAATCTACCAGGTCCCCTCCTGGGAGGTGATGTTCTCACTGCCAGCATCTACAGAACATGTGTTTGCTTCTCCTTGGCTGCCTGACTCTGTGGTGGCTAGTCTCCTGGAATTCCTTCCTGAGACTGTTTTGCCTGCTCCTGACTGGTGAACTTCTGGGCTGCGATAGATGCGATGCTCAGTCCCTTCCCCTTAACATAGATTGTTTCAAATGTCTTTTCATATAATCTCCCACTACATTTTACTGTTGTACTCTCATGTTTCATTTTGAAATAATGTAAAATTTTTTTCTAGAAGTACAGTTAATTCTGCATGAAGTACTTGGATTCTTTTCTGTAAAGCTCTTATAAGGATACTTCTATTATATATAACTAATATCAAAATTACAGTCATTTCCTATTACCCTTTTAATCAACATCATCCATAATACAAAAAAAGTAAGACCTAATTCTATAGTTAAATTCCTCAGTCTAGTTGGAAGGCTGCATCTTTCCATGAACTTAAATAGATATGGAATTTTATTTTATTTTATTTTATTATTTTTTTAAAGATTTTATTTATTTATTTGACAGATCACAAGTAGGCAGAGAGGCAGGCAGAGAGAGAGAGGAGGAAGCAGGCTCCCTGCTGAGCAGAGAGCCCGATGCGGGGTTCGATTCCAAGACCCTGGGATCATGACCTGAGCCGAAGGCAGAGGCTTTAACCCACTGAGCCACCCAGGCACCCCTAGATATGGAATTTTTAAAAAAGATAAAATTAATTAACAGCAAGAGTGTAAATATTTTAATTGGAAATTATCACAAAGCCATGTAAATTTTAGTGCTTTCCTTCCTCATCCACATCTAGCAAAAAATCAGAAAGTGAGTCATGAAGACAACTAAAATAACAGGCTAAATCATTTCAAAAGAAATGTTTTTTTCCTCAGTGACTTAGTAAAATTTTTGTAATATTTGCATTTTAACTGATGAATTAAGTTTTATTCTTTGGAATTTTTAGTGTTAAATTAAAAAAAAACATCAACTAGATGACTAAAGGCTCTCTGGGAAATTACTTATATGCATTAGTAATGGAATCAGTTATTCAGAATGCAGTGGAAGCTCCACTGAAAATTTCTCCTCAGGGCAATTACCTTATAAGTTCTGTGATTTTTATAAGATGGTTCTGGCCTGTGCTGAGAAGGGTGGTTGGTTAGGGAAGACTTTAAAGGGAAGAAAGTATAATTGATAGCCTCAGCAGTCTAGTCAAGAAGTATTAAGGCTTAACTCTAATAGGGTGATGTTGATATAAGTTGATAGTAGAGGTAGTACAAAAGAAAATGTAGGGGGCGCCTGGGTGGCTCAGTGGGTTAAAGCCTCTGCCTTCAGCTTGGGTCATGATCCCAGGGTCCTGGGATCGAGCCCCGCATCGGGCTCTCTGCTCAGCGGGGAGACAACTTCCCTTCCTCTCTCTCTGCCTGCCTCTCTGCCTACTTGTGATCTCTGTCTGTCAAATAAATAAACAAAATCTTAAAAAAAAAAAAAAAAGAAAATGTAGGAGGACTTACCTACTAATTGATTTGGTAGAATAAATAATGAGATTATTTTTCTCTCCCATGATATTAGAAGAAAGATAGCCAAAGTATAACCAAAATAGGTAAAACAGGTTTGAAAGTGGATCAAGTGGAAGGAAATAATTATTTAGTTGGGTAAAAATAGAGGCATTGTCAATGTACAAAATCATAAATAAAAGTATTTGAAGTTATGGTATTAAATAAATTAGGGATTGAATAGAGAGATTAAGTAAGAAGACTTAAACTCTTTAGAGTTAGGATAAAACTAAAACAACACATAGAAAGGTAGCAAAGAGTGGAACCCTGCAGATGACAGTGACTTTGGAGACAGGAAAGGGATGGAAGGTTGAAGATGATGTAATTTGTTTAGAGGTAGGCTGAACTTTAAATAATTGTAGTGGATGTTTGAAGATTTAGTGGAAACATATTGGTATGGTAGATTAAAGGAGAGAGAAGATGATAACACAAAGGGAACAAGAGGAGTAGTTTACTTCTGTGAAGAGTTTGGAAGAGAAAATATAGAGGTCCTTTAAGGTGTACTGCCCTTCTTGCTGTTTCATTCTCTCTGGGTTGAGGTTAGCATGTGTTCCAGCATAAAGGACAAAACTGAAGAGGAGACACTGACAGTCTGAGAAGTGGAGAGTGGAAGTACAGGCCACATGTAGCATTCAGAGCACACAAGAGGTCTCAGGAAGGACTTCTGTAGCAAAACTGCTAGGTTTGGGTTTAATCCTTTCAAATTTGTTATGGGTGGGTCACAAACTATAGAGTGAGGACAAACTATATAGAGAGGTGCTGCCCATCTTCTCTTCATAACTTAAAGTCAGCTTTCCCTTGTCAACATCCTCCCTGTTGGAGGAGGGCAGGGACAGATTACTCATATGGACTGCCTTTGTGG